TGGGTATGTGTGTACGTATTGCGGATCTGTGTTAGTTATATAGAATTCGGGAAAAGAACTGTGGTAAACTTGTGAGAGTAGCAAATGTTGTTTTCTGTGGTTTAAAATAACTACTTTGTTTATGGATTGTTTCAAGATAGATATGAGAATTGTCTCTTACTGGGACTGAGTTTGCAGGTACCTGACCAGAAAGTTGTATTCTTACATATGCATATTTTGATGTGTTTGTTCTTTTTTGTCTTTTTCCAGGTCTTTTAAAGATTGGTCTGAGAACTGCTTTTGCTCACATCAGCCAATTAGTAGAACAGTATTATGAATGTATTCAGGGGTAGAATGTTTATTCTCCTCTAAAACGTTCCTTCCAGATAATATATTGTTAAATAGACCTGTTTATAAACGTTTAAAATTAATATGAATTTATATATATATGTACATTTTCAAAATAACAAACTTACAGAGCTAATGAACTCTACTGAATAAAAAGGGGTGAAGTTACAAAGCTAACAGATATGCTACATAAAAAATTTGAAAATTATGTTCACAAAAGTGAATCGTAGTTGTTATTCAGATTCCAAAAATAGTACTCCTGTTTTCTTTCTGGTGAAACATTTTGCTATGTGAAAATTTTGGTCAAAGCATGACTTCAGTCCACTCATTTGTTTCCTTTTAATACATTTCTTAGAACTTCTGGTTAACTGGCCAGAAAAAATAACAGTGACAAAAATCATTATTTGAAAGTTGTTTTGCTCACATAACCACAGCTGTTATCTTTTGTATAAGTTATGACTGGATAAGCCAGAGAAGTGACAAAATATTTAAACAGGCAAAGGTCCCGGGAAGGGGGGTACTGCCATATGTGGGCTATATAGGTATGTGCCGCTGTGAAGGGTATGGTTTTCAAGCAGTTTACTCTAGGATAGGGTATATAAATCAGAGCGTTTGGGTCTAGAATAGGGTATCATTTTTCAGGAAACTGATCAGTTGGTTGAAGATTTTATCTAGACTAGGGAAACAGCTACTCTAGAATAGGGGGGATTTGGGGAGTTTACTCTAGTATAGGGTAGCAAAATTCAACTGAACTAGCTCTAGTGTAGGTTAAGGGTTACATGGTCCCAGCGGCACATCCCCACCCAGAAATTCCTAAAGTACCCCCCGGGGCAAAGGTACGGTAAAACGGACAAAAAATGTGCAACTTGTGTTGAACTTGTGTTGCTACGTTTGCTGCAAAAAGAGTTGAGTGTTTACTTTCCACGAATCGGAAAATCAGGTTGTTGCAAGCTGCGAGGATACCGACTTCTGTTTGAATAAAATTACGACTGACACTGTCACTTGCTGCAAAACAAGTTTTTCTTGGGAATCATGTACAGATTTTGTTGCAAAATTTAGATCTGTAAAACTACTGTCTATTCAGTTTTGCATCAATTCTTTTTGTAACGTGCAACAACCTGATTTGTCGCTCGACAGGAATAATTCGTGGGTGGTCAGACGCGCAACATCGTTTTCAACTTGTTTTGAAAGAATGTTGCAAAACAAGTGGCAGGTTTTTTTGTCCGTTTCCCTTTAACATTACACGTTCAAAGAACATGTTGGAGATGGAAATAAAGTCAAACATCATGTGTAGTCGTGAGAGTCCACTCGCTTTCGTCGTTAATACATTTGATGTAAATAGAAATACAACAGCGCTGCGAAATCGTACGCGGGGAGAGTGAGGCGTAAGCGAGGGAACTCCTGTAAACATTCTTATTCCCTATCCTTTTCCCTCTCTAGTCCCCTTGGTTTTTTTTCCTCGTCAATTTTTCGCCCGCGCTCTACTATCTGACCTCAGGTATGGAGTATCTCGTGTTAAATAACAGAAACCGCAATTTCGCGCGCTTTCAATTTAAGCCCATTTCCACCCATCTTGGTTATAAGCCTATCTATTTTGTTAACAGAAATGGTTTTTCGGTTACAAGCCCTAATTTCCGCTTATACGTCTCCGTGCTTTTTCCGGTTATCGTAAGAGTTAGTTTTGAATTTCTTGTTGGAGTAAAATAAAATACATTTCCTTAAACCCCTACGAAATTGTGTGAATCTGGGATGTTAATTGGAACATGGGATGCTCAGAACTCTGTAAATGACAACTGACATTTTGATTTACATAATGTGCAAAGAAATTAAGCTGCTTATGAAAACACTTATACACCTCTTTAATAAAGGTTATAGACCTCCGCGAGTGATTTATCCACGACGCGCATCTGAATATATTCACGACAAATTCAGTCGTGCCGACACGGAAAGCTATCTGGTATATAGTTGAAACACCTATCCATTATGTGACTCTCCACGGATCGGCAAGACGCAGCTTCGCTCCGTTACGACCCTGTTACGAAAATCGCGCCGAGTTCGCCATTCTTATGTGTGAACAGGAACCCCATCCGGTATGGCTTTCGTGCCGGCGCAAAAGCTATATAGGATATCATGAACGTAGCCTTAATTGTGTAAGAAATTGTTTTCAAAATATTCAGAGACTTTTCTGTAAACATCATACCATCAATGACTAAATTGAGAGTGACTTTGAACGCCGTTTAGCCACTGGCTAAACTGATTAAAGAACTACACCCTGTCCCCCGAGTTTTAACACGGGAACAAAAGGCGTCTGTTTCCGCATTTTAGATTAAAGATTTTTTGTGATGAAACTGTTTTGGTTTCAAAACAAAACAGTTGTTTTTAGGTAGATTACAAACTAGAGGTGGAAGTAGATTACTGTAAATGGAACCTACTCTAATGGAACCTAGGTTCTGATTGTAAACCGTTGGTTTTTCCTCTTTCCCCCCCTCACTAAGACGATATTTTGCACGCCTTTAAACCCAGTATTGCTAACTTGCAGCTTGGCGCTTTTCCTTTACTTAGACGTGACGTGTGCGCCTTAACGCCGACAGGAGCATAATGGTTTGAAAATAGTCAATTATTGATTCAAGATCAGTGTATTATCTAAATCTGTTTTCTTTTTAAAGGAACGTCGCCGATTTGGGGATAAGAGGCTTACTTCCTTGATTATGACGAAGATACTACCTCACCGCATTCTCTAGATAAAGGGTCTAGGTCATAGAGTATCACAGGTAGCCCAAGCTCGAAATATGAGCATCGGCGAGCATCGGCATTGTTGCGTAACATTCAAAATATAAGGATTTGTATGGGAAAAAAACCTATCGTTTCTGTAACCTACGAAATGAAAGGATTTCAGTAACAAAAAACAGCTTACCTTACTTAAACTAAGTAGAGAAAACCGTTTACACAAAAACCCATAAAAGGGTTATAAATCGGCCTGTGGACCACACAAGAGAGACGTAACACACATTTTAAGTAAGGTAAGCTGTTTTTTATTGAAATCCTTTCATTTCCGTAGGGACAGAAACGATAGGTTTTTTTTCCCATACAAATCCTTATATTTCGAATGTTACGCAACAATGCCGATGCTCGCCGATGCTCATATTTTGAGCTTGGGCTACCTGTGGGAGTATGGGGCTATAGCATCAATCATAACATTGACTGACGAAACAGATAAATGTACCAAGAAACCCGTTGATGCACCCATCCGAGGTCGTACAAATGATTTGGTCGGATAACCGCGATGTTTTAAATTAAAAGCAAAATGACTGAGTGTTATTACGTTTGGGGGAGAGATTAAAAATGAATGCCGGTGGTGCAAGGTGATGACGAAATGGTCGGTTCCCATAGCCCCTGCGCTCATGTTTCAAAATGGGTCGAGTCGGGCAGGACGAAATGAAGCAAAGGTGCGAACAGCATCCCATTTTCGCTGATATTCAGACACTAGTGTTTGTGCACCAAGTGTAAACAGAGTGTGAGTTACATATGATTGACATTACCCTTTTTCTTCTTATGCTGCGAATGCCAAGGTAAAGGCTTCATTAGGTTGTAATCCGTCGCGGTCAGCTCCAGTGTTCTTTCCAAACAAACAGTTCGCAAAGGATTAGCTGATGACCTTGGAAAAAAGTCAATCAATGACAGCCTTGATCAGGATAAACAGGAGTTGCGACGAGGCGTGGTTGGTTGGGAATTAGATTAAGTGACTAGGCACATTCCTATCTAGTTTTAGTACATGCATTGATTAAACAAATCCTGGTACGATTATTCATTGGATCCTGAAGATCAAATTAATCTCACCGGAAGACAGTGTCCCAGTGGCGACCGGGGTGGGCAGGTAAAAAAAAATGGAAAGAACCGCGCAATGCTGATAAAAAAAAGAGAAGTTCGAGAACGGCATGGAATCTGGACTCGTTTTCCGTTACCGTTCCTTCCATCAAAACTAAACGGGACAATTTTAATTTTATCCCTCTACTTTCTTTTAAAAGCCTGTCTAAGGCGTGTAATCCAGGATGCACTTGCCCACAACATGCAGCTGAACATGTGACACTGCCGGTCAACGACGAAAATGGCGGGAAAATTGCTGTGCACGGCAGCCGCGCGCGGGTGTCTATTCGCGGGAAAATTACGCTAAAAAAAAAAAAGAGAAAATATCAGTATTTCTCTACATAAAAACAGAAAAAAGTTATTTTGTTGGCTCGGGTCGCTTTTAAAAGGTAGGAAAACATCATTTGTGTCTGTCAAAAACATAGATATTACTTTCAAATGATCTTAACTTGAATGTGAAACACACGCACATACCTTTTACCAACGAAAAACGTACGGTAACCGTACCCAATAAAGTAGGCTACTTTTTTCTCTACGCCAGTCCAATTAGCTTAAATAAGCTCGTTGTTTATCCCGATAATAAGACATCAAAGGACAAATTCTCTGTATGCAATTTTTATGTACAGGTTTAATTGACAGCTAAAACGTTTACAATATGATGGATGTTGTTACTGGTGACCAAGTGGTCGAGGAAGAATTAAGCGATCAAGAAGAGGTAAGCTTCAATAATACAATTTTGATATTTTATAAAAGCTTTGTTTCTGTGGTTTCATACCTTTGATAGAGTCAGATCATAGGCCTTAAACTGAGGTTATATTTAAGTGAGTAACAAGTTGTGTAAACCTGAAAAGTTCAAGTATTGTACTCTGAAAATTAGAAAAAAGAGTTAATAAGTCGCCGAGTGGTTAGAGAACATGTAGTCATGATCACTTAGCTCACCTCGCCCTGACCGCTAGCTGGATTTGTTCTCGGTAGTCCCGAGTTAAAATCCTCCCCCACGCCTGTAAATAGCCAACTGGTTCACCTCCTACGAGTTGGGATTCTTAACCACCGTATGTTCAATTTGAATTATTTGTTTGATTATCTCTGAAAAGCCCCATAAGGGAAGAGCATTCAAAATCATAGTCAAACGATAAAGACGTCAAATATAAGAACAAAAGAAAATCCTAAATGGTCGCTCTCTGCTCTAATACCCAGTTCTCAGTGAAAAAAAAAACTGTTTTGTAACTACTGGAATACATTTTGTTAATCCCTGAGACTTCGTCTAACAGATGGAAATGGTTCTATATATTGTTATTTCTGAATTAACTAATTAGCTAAGTAAATTGATAAAACAAAAATTTTTGATTCTGTTGAATTGCCTCAAACAAAACTATCTGATCTTTTTAAATGCAGGAATCGTTTTATCAAGACATTGACCTTTTACAGAACCACGGAATTGTAAGTATAAATTGAAATTTAGAACACTGGTTTGAATTCACTTCCTGGCAAATCGAATCAAATCAAATCATGTGTTTATTATGTATTAAAAGGATACATAAAACTCTCTTTTTAATATTGCATTAAGGGACAGGACATTAGTTGACGGGGAAACCGAAACAGCCTCCATATTGGAGACCATTTAATAAGTTTCGTGAGCGGCCCTATTTTAGAAAATGGAAAAAAGACTGAGTGGAGACTATAAATTAGATCTGAAAACAGGCTGCTAATAGCCAATTGAGGCTGGAGGTGTTTGTTGTACTTATGATTATAGTAAATAAATGGTGTTTACAACCTTCTACATCCCCCAAACAAAGTAGCCCTCCCCTCCCCTGCGGGAGAGGAAATTAGTCAAAGGGATTCCTGCTATTGATGTACTGAAATAAGCTAACGATAACTATTTTGTTTGGAAATGAAAAGAATGTTGCAGATATAAAAAAGTTGAAGAGCGCCGGGATATGCACTATCAAGGTAGGCTTGTATGTTTAGCTACGGGCAAATGCCTGGTTAAATTGTTAAAAATTGTAAAAAAAGACTTTGAAATCACGATACGGAAGGTATAGTGTGTACGCATGATCATTAGTAGGGAAAAAGGTCGGTGCTTTTTCTTACGTTTCATGGGTAGGTATGCTTTCCTCAGCCAAGTTATTTTGCCTGTAACTAGACGTAAATAAAAAGTAAATATAAAATAAAAATAAAAAGTCCTAATTCAGGTCAACAGTCTCTCTATCCGCAGAAAAAAAGAGTAAAAGAGTACTTCATCGCCTATGTCTTTTGACGTTCTTTTAAGCCTGAAACTTATAAGGTTTGAACTTGTACAGGGAGTGCAGATGACGACAAGGAGAAAAATGTGCCAAATAAAGGGAATATCCGAAGCTAAAATGGAGAAAATCAAGGTGAGGTTTATTTCTATGACAAGTGAACTTTCCAAAACCTATATTAATATACTAGAGTTTCTTACTATGAAGTTTCTATCGAACTGATTGAATTAGTACTATCTCTTTCGTATTCTTCAACAACAACAACAACAACAACAACAAGTAATAATTAGGAAACTTCCTTTTTTCTTTTAGGAAGCTGCTGCCAAGCTTGCTGTAAGTGATATGTACTGTTTGATTTGCTTAGTGTTTGTCCTTATGTCAAAACAAACTGCAAGTTTTTCCTTTCCGATTTATGACCCAAAAAATTCAGGGCCCCTTTGTTCATATTGTTGGATATCCACGGCAGATAAATCACTTTCCAGCGGATGGCGTTATCCAACTTTTAAACAACTGGGGCCAGGCCTATCAAACATAGTCATTAAATCCTGATTAAGCAATTTTTGTATGCAAAATTTAAATTCATCACAAAAGGAAAAAATAATTAGTAGCAGGTCACAACCACGGTACCATAAAAAAGAACCTACACTGTCCTAGACTGATAGAACCGAAACCGAATCCATAACCTGCCTAAAATCGGTGGGACGCAAAAATAACTTACTAAGTACTAGAGACTTTGATAAGCAAGGACAGGAGGCTTTCTTTCTTTGTGTAATCTAACTTGTATTACATTATAACGTTTATAGAATGCCGGCTTCGTTACAGCTCTGATATACAGTGACATGAGGAAAATGGTTTTCAGGATTTCCACTGGAAGTAGTGAGCTAGAGTAAGAGTTTTTTTTCACCCTGCTAACAGCTACTAAAAATGAAGGTGGGGTGGGGGGGATACGGTGGTCTTGGGTGATTAAAGGGTATAAAGACTTTAAGGATTGTTCTCCTTGGACAAAAACTTCTCTAGTCTCCCTCGCAGCCGTTTTGTCTCGTCACACAACGCTCCTCCCCAATTTGAGCGTTACATGACGAGACAAAAACGGCTGCGAAGGAGACCAAAACTTCTCTTGATATTATCGTCCATATCGCCCCTAAACACTTAAGTGTACAAATGGGTGACACTCTCACTGTGAAGGAGGGGGGTCTTTAATGGGAAACGGTTATCCCCTACAATGCGAGTTTTATCACCTCTCGAAGTGCGCCTCTCGTGTTGACTAAATTACCTATCTTTATTGTCTTTACAGCAAACTTCTGGGAGGTAAGCGGCCATTTAATTCGCTTTTATTTGACTTTTCTTTCATTGTTTTGACGAAAACATAAAATATTGAAGTAATCAATATGATGCTCTTTAACAGGAGGAATAGAGAGCATGTCAATAACTGAAGTTTTTGGAGGTATGTCAACTTACAGACATTACAGTATCACCACAACTTTACTATAACATTTGGCACTCTCTAGCTTCTCAAAATGTATTGGAATATTTTGGAAACTGGAAACTGATGTTTATTTTCTTTTTCTGCTTCTGAAGAATTTAGAACTGGCAAAACGCAGCTGTCACACACATTGTGCGGTGAGTTAAATGAAATTGTCTCTATATAAAATATCTCATTTTCTTATTTACTAATCCAGAAGCTGACAGATTGCTGATCGGCTCCAGACTAAGTATACACGAATTCCTCCCTCCTCCCTTAGAGAGTTTTCTTTCTGTGGCCAAACAATATGAGGTGTGCATATGATATTGACTTCCATTTGTATCTTTTTGTTTAATGTACCTCTTTTTCATACAATTCAACAGTTACAGCGCAGCTGCCTGGAGCTAATGGATATACAGGTGGAAAAGTGATCTTTATTGATACAGAGGTACTTTCTACTAAAATCACGACTTTAATCATACTTCAAACTACCAGGTCTTTCAACGCTGTTTGCTGTCGAATTTCCTAGCAACAGCAACTAACATGCTCATTTTCAAACTTTTTTTTTCAGAATACTTTGTATCCTTTGAAAAATTAAAACACTGTTTCGATGATACATAGCAAGCTATGTTACATTTGATAATCCACTCCAATATTTAAAAAAGAATGTATCAGTCAGTTAAAGAGAAGGAAAAAGGTGCGCAGAAATGAACTTTCCACTTGATCTCTCACGAAATTATCTACGACTTCAAAGGAGACTCGAGGAATGATGCTTTGATTATAATTGAAAAAGAACCATTACAGTTCATTTGCTCAGTTTAGAAATGTCAAATATCTCATTCAACCTGTTTATTCAAAAATTTCTAGTCTCGCAATAGATTCGCTAACATCATCAAAATATCGATATCCGTACTCTTCGTACAAACGAAGATTAAATACAGGTTATTTCTTCTGATAAAATATCATTTTTCTTAGATAAGAATTTCCTATTATTTACTGAAGTTAATAGCATTTAGGTCAGCAGTTCGAGTTTGTAACACGTCTACAGATTCCTTAACTCGTAGCAGCCGTCCCGATCGCCTTCGTGAGATCGCAGACAGATTTAACTTGGACCAAAACGCGATGCTGGATAACGTGCTCTACTGCAGGGCCTACACAAGTATGTTTAAACACGTACTACGAGCTAATTATGTTTAAATTTATATTTCTGATTATCAGTGGAGGTAATGTACCTTTTAATTACTGCTTATCCATTTCACCATTCTAAGATGCACTTATACCTTTGGCAGGTGAGCATCAGTATGAGTTGATGGATTGTGTGGCTGCCAAGTTTCATGAGGAACCTGGAGTATTCAAACTTATGGTTTGTATGCAGCCATCAACTGAATACAGTTTTTAACTGCGCCCTGAATATGTAGCCAATTGGAAGGACTGAATTCTTTCTATATTTTTGACATCAAAGCAAGTAGTCTCATTTAGAGATGTTATGTAATGTACTGATCGTTGGCCAGAAACAAAAGCGAACAGCGTTGTCGGGGGCGTCGGAAAGACGAGGGGGTCCGTTGTAGAGGTGACAGAAATCATTGTACTGCTAACATCTACATCTTTTGTGTAATCGATAGATTATTGACTCGATAATGGCACTCTTCAGAGTGGATTTTTGCGGAAGAGGAGAACTAGCTGACAGACAGCAAAAACTTGCGCAGATGTTATCACGACTGCAGAAACTATCGGAGGGTGAGATAGTTGAAAAACCTTGCTTCTGCTCATTTTGTATCATCTCCTCCTACCCGCACCGAAAGTTGCTGTTCAATGCTGTACAGCCTTATGTAACAATCATAAAAGAGCTACTTTCTTGAGATAAAGTCGCCGTGGAAGCATCTTACACAGCAAAATTCATTTCTTGAATACATGCAGTTCTCCTGCCGGAGTGATTGCTTAAATTTCTTTTTGTTTTCTTTTTTATGTATACAGAATTCAACGTTGCTGTTTTTATAACCAACCAGGTATGTTCACATGAACTCACGCATTCATTATTTAAAAATACCTTAAATTGCCTGTTATTAAGAAAAGCTGATGACTTTTATGGCCGTGACGTTAGACACTTGTAAGGTTTAGCATTAGCATGTCATGGCCGGGGGATGAGTGGGACCAGGGCCCAGTGAAACTAACCCAAGACCTTCCCACCCACTTGCTAACTGATGTACTAGGAAAATAAGTTATATTTTACAGTAAACGTCTGATACCATAAGATTTTCATTATCCAAAGATGTTTTATCCATTTTAACAAAAATTGTTCTTTGCAGATGACAGCAGATCCAGGAGGTGTGTATTGCGTTCTTTATAATCATGAATAATGACGGAACTCTATTCTCTCGTACTCCTAATACTCTAATTGTCTTGTATATTATTCTAATATTAATATGTACCTCTCTTTGTTATTATTGTCTCTTAACTGAATGATGTGGATGGTTCAACAAACAGCCACAATAAGGTAAGGTTAGAATTAAACACTGATTGTAATTACAGTGCAGTGAAGCAAATGGACAAAGCCAAGTGTCCGCATTAAAGAGGCAGGAATTTGGAATCTTCATGACCAAGATAACTGTCTGTAAGAAAGAGGTGTGTTGGACGGAGGTGTCCTTAACAAGTGGTTGCCGTTTGGGAGTTGACAAAATACGGAACAAACTTTCTCTGTTTACCCTACAATACGATTTAAACAAAGGGGCAAGAATTGCCAATAGATCTGCATGAACATGGCGTTCTGATTATTACAAAAGGAAAAGTTTGACTAAGCTCTTTCACTTCCATTATCTGGTAGTCGAGTTAGTATCAAGTACAAGATATAGTTGTACTCAAAACAAACCTCTTTTTCCTGGTTAGCTTTCAAGCTGACCCCAAGAAACCCATTGGTGGACACATTCTGGCTCATGCATCTACAACTCGTATTAGTTTGAGAAAAGGTAGAGGCGAGACAAGGATTGCCAAGATATATGACAGGTGTGTTAATTTGCCACTATAAAATTGTTCCAAAAAAATTCCTTGTTTTTTAGTCTATTTATGATTTTAAATAACGCACTGCTGAGAACTAATCATGGTGACAAAACTTTTAACCCTTTTTGCAGTCCTGATCTCCCAGAAAATGAAGCCACATTTGCAGTAACAACAGGAGGAATTGCAGATGCTAAGGAGTAACTACCGATTGTAATCAACACAATGATTCAACTACATGAATACTATTTTAATTCATTATTTGGCAATGAAATTGTATTGTTTGATGAAGAGGTACATATAAAATTTGAATACAAGTTTATGAATAAAAGATCTTCATGAAGTATTCTTTGTGAAATTTGGATTCCCTTTTATGTCTCCTCCTTCCAAGACTCTGTAGATATTTTGTATAGCTTGTTCTATTACTTTCTAAGATCTTCTAACCTTTGACAAATTAGCTGGCTACTTAGCTTTTTTTAATATTATTGCTTGGTTAAGTATAATTGCCAACATTATATTTTTAAACCATTTTATGGCAGGATCATAAGTAAACCGTTCAGATATCAATAAATATTTATCATTGTGCAAGAAATCCTCCATCAACAGGTAATATGGTTCCATTTATCATGCTAGCTTTGTCACTCAAGAGGTAAACAATGGCATGTACAACTTCTTCCACTTCTGCAAAACGAATAGGATGTAACTATAAATAACAAACTACCATAACGTTAAAACTATTTTTTGCCAGAAAGGTTTTTCTGCAATTTTTATTTCAAGTTTTACCTGCAAATCTTCCAAGCGGTATTTGGTCAAGCATTGGCTTTGCTTTGGCAGGATCTGACCACCCTAACCTTCCCATATCTGTCAACACAACAGTTGGGTTGACGGCATTTACTCTTATCTGCAAGGAAAGCAACCTCTCTTTCATAATATGACTTAATTTAATTTCTTTGAATTACTGTTAAAATTAAATGAGAGACATTTGTATTCAAGAAAAAATAAATAATCATTAAAACAACTTAAAAACAAAGGTGCTCAATTTCTATTTTACTTTTGCATTTGGTTGGCAACAAAAAGGACCCTGAAGTCAAGAAAATAATAAAACCAAACACTGACAGCATAATTTTTACATTTCTACTAAATGGAGTGCACACAGTACTGTAGTGTACATCCGGGACTTACTTATCTAGAGCAGGAAGTCTAGAGTCATGTGACTTGACAGCCAGTGTATTCATGTTGTGTGTATTCATGTTCATGAGAGTGTAGCAGTGAGCTAAGCAGTGCTCGATTTCATGGCCTCAGTGGCCTGTTATAAATATTACAAGTACTCAAGTCATTTCTTAACTGAGTAGTAACTCAAAACATTACTCACTTGATGAGGACCCAGTTCTAAAGCCAAGGATTTTGTAAGCATATCAACAGCTGCCTTTGTAGAACCTGAGGCAATCACAAAGAAAAGCTTAAAACAAATTTGACCTCATACTCCTACAAAAGAAGGCATGAAAAGGGGCAAGGTGTAGCTATATACATGGGCTTTGAATTCTTGGTTCAAATTTTGTTTCAATTTAGCTAAATAATGTAGTATAGAATAAAGAATAGTTACTGTTTGTTAGTGGGGGTTTTGCTGTTTTTTTATGTTATCAAGGGCATTTAAAGCAGGTGATTAGTCTTTCGGTTACTTACAGTACAAAATGTGGTTCTTTAAAGCCTTTTTGGAGGCTTGACTGGAAACATTAACTATTGCCCCTCCAAAACCACTAGCAATCATCTTTTTAGCCACAACCTACATAACAAGGAACTTTGGTTAAAACTGGTCCAAAGTCATTGACAGAACTACAAAACTGAAAAACAGCACAGTAACTGAAAAGGCAACAGTAACTTCAAGAAACCAAGCAGAGAATAAAGTATATATTACGAGTCCTACCTGTGCAATGAACAAAGGAGCCTTTACATTGACTGAAAATATCCTATAAGAAACATAGGCCACTCTGGATTGATTACAGAAGAACTGTAATCAATCCAGCTAATCAAAACAATTTTTACTTTTTTTTCTGCCATATGAATCCTTTCTGAAATATGTCACCATAAGTGTCAATTCATGCCAAATGCAAACAATACCATCATGCTTCCAATTAAAAAGAAGTTATCCTCTGTCAGGGTGATTTCTTCTCACTTCCAAACAGCATCACCAGGCATTCTCCTGGTCATATGAATGAGGTAAAATTGTGAAGAAGATAATGACTTGGTTGTAGTAATAGGGTGGTGGTATTATTGAGGTTGTAGAAATATGAGGAAATGACTGGAATTTTGTCCAGGCTAACAAAAATGGTCATAAAAATGAAGTAAGCATGGTTGCAAGACTGGGTTACGCTGTAGCTAATCCCAACGTTTAAAGAAGTGCAAATTTACTCTATGAATGCTTGAAGCTAACTAGAGACGAAAGCAAACGATCTCCAGTTTCAAATAATATTGTATTATATAAAGGGTGCATAAGTCAAAGGAGCTCAGAGTATAAGCAGTAATAAATATTGTCATCTATTATCTTAAATCACTCATTAAGTTTAAAAATATTTAAAGAAATTGATAGAGGACTACAGTCTACATACTTGTCAAAATCTTCTGGCTTTGCCTCTTCAAAGGGTCCAAGTATGGCAATCCCTGCATTGTTCACAAGAAGATGAATGTCCCCAATACTCTCTACTGTCTTCAATGTAGCTTCAATGTCACACAGGTCAATACAAACAGTCTGAATTGAGGGTTCCTTTAAAAATACAACCGACATAGTCAAACCTTGTGATACAAACACCAAAACAGGCAAGAGTGCAGAGGGGAAATCTTTGTATCTTTTGGGAGGAGTCCATGACATGGAAATGCTGTCCATGATAAAATAGGGTGGAGTCAAGATATCATGAGGCTTGGTTTTTACTAGAGCTTAAGAGTCTGCCCAGGTAAATCATGGTGTTGTGTAAATAGTCTGTGGAGCTTTGTAGCCAATGCATTTCTGTGGGTGCCCTAGAGTTAAGTCAAACCTCTAATTGAGTGTCCCTCTAATAAATTAATTGGTCACATCAAGCAGTCACTAATCAAATTTCCAAAATTTGCTTCCTACATTTACTGCATATTTGACTCTGTTTCAAACTCATTGGATATTATCAAACCCAAACACACCGGAGGATAATAATATCAGACCAAGGCTTTAACTAGACATAAAACGTAAAACTAAAGCAACTCATATTATTTCTTGCTTTTACCCAACCTCTTTTTTCAAGCTGTCCAAGTCTTCTTGTGTCCGGGATAAGGCTATTACCTCAGCCCCACACTTCACTAACATCTTAGCAGTACTGCGACCTATCCCTGTATATAAGACAAACCTGAGATGTTTTTTTGTGTCCCCTCACTTAAATTTCCGTTCATTTTTATAAAAGGCAAAATCCTAGACGCATAGACGACCCAGAGACGAGCGAACTCAAAAAGTGGCGCGCGCATCGGACATAGTATTATTTATCAGTTATACAACAAAAACAAGAGAAATAACGTTACCTTTCCCCGCACCAGTGACTAAAGCACGCTTCCCCCCGAATTTGATATCCATATGTATGGTTTACAGCACAATTTCGTGCGACAATCCCAGCCTGAACCTTTCCTGTCTAACCTCAGCTCGATTTCCGCCGCTCTCTAGACCAGAACCAGAGTCTAGTCTCCCACGGCCATTTCGTGTCGTCACGCAACCCTAGACGGTAGACTCGTCCCGTTTTAGCCTTCCTGTTATGCATCAGTCAATTCCACCTGCGCCCAGCCTCCCCCCCCTGGCTGACCCCCGGGCATTAGCATTTTTTTTGCCTTGGATGGCAAATTCCCGGGGGTGGGGACTCTTGAGCTGTCAAACCCCCCGGGGTGGGGACGAAAAAAGAGGGCAAATGCCCCGTCCTCCGTCAACACTGCAACATTTTTCATTGATCGCACAGTCAAATAGTGCCATTTTAAACATTTTAATGTGCGATTTTTTGTTTCAATTAACGTCTAATTCTAACTAAGCCTTCAGGCCGCGACGACATGCACCAGTTTATGGTTTTAGTATTGATATAAAATTATTGACATTAAAATTAATAGAGCACTGTAATGTTATATGTTATGAATAGTTTTATAAATATGAAAGGATGTTCTTCAAATAATATCAACAGAAATTTGATTCAATAACCAAAAAACGTTGATTCACATCAATAGCTCCAATTTTGCTACGTAATTCTGGCTTTATAAGCAATGAACTTCAACTTCTTCAACTTCAACTTTATTTCATAAGACTATTGGTTACAATAGACTGGCCCGCAAAATAGCAATTGCTAATCTAGGCGGACCAGTTAAAAGAAAAATAAATTGAAAGGAAAAGAAAGGAAAGGAAAAGGAAGGAAAACTACAATTTTAAGTTACAATAAATAATATTCTATCGCAGGTTTATTTTAATTACATTAAATCTGAACAAGCAAACAAACAAATACTTTAATACAGAAATCACTAAACTATTAATCGAACTTTTTCAACTATTAAGGGCGTTCTCAATATAGTCATCTTCTCTTTTTAAGATATCCGAAAGCAATCTGTGAAGTACTTTCCTAAATTTCTTTTTAGGAAGATCTCTAATATGACAAGGCATCTCATTCCAAAGTTTTACACCAAAGCGAGACAAGGAGTTTTTGTGTATTTCCAGCTTTGAGCTTTTGACGTGAAAGTTACCTGAACTAGATGATCTTGTATAGTATGAATGAATTGTTGAGGTTTTTTCAAATAAATTGAGCAGATTTGTTGGCGAATTGTTGTTGTTAATATCGTGTATTAGATTAGCCACAGTTTTATAATACATTAAACTGGTAACTGTATGCTTCAAGAGTGTCGATGGATTTAGCAATTCGGTCGCAGAGAATGGAGATTTCGGTGACTCTAGTAAACAGTTGTTTGATTTGCTTCACCGCTTCGTCTTTGAAGGCGACAAGGTCGTCATATTTACTGGAGACGAATTCAAGCGAATGAGCACATTCTGACGACATTTTCTTCTCGGCGTCCGGCTTCGTCAGCTCCGCTTTCTTTGACGAAAATTCTTCGGAAATTTTCTGGAGGTTTTCTTTCAATTCAGCTATCTCATTTCGTAAAGACTGATTTTCCTTCCTCAGCTTTTCATTCCCAGTCACAATTGGCAGAAGGAAGACTCAAATTCTAATCTTAGCTCGGAGAGCTCTTAAACACACGTCCGACCAGTACAAGCACCGCACCAGTATAAATGAAACATACACGTAAAATCGAGAGCATGCCTTTACAACCCTCTACAATTTATTCCTGTCCTTTACAGACGAGCCAACCTGCTTTTTTTGCAGTAAAACCTTCTTTGTAGTTATATTCTGATGTGAAACCGCGTGCGTGTCAAAAGCTCGGGAATGGCCCGGGGGTTGGCAAATGCCCGGCGCCCGGGCAGTGCAAAATTTGCAAATACCCCACCCCCGGGACTGACAAGGCGGGCAAATGCCCCGCAGTTGCCCGGGGGGGGAGGTTGGGCGTAGGTGGAATTGACTGATGCATTAAATTAAGTATGCAAAATACAGGCAAAGGCTTGGGTGAGACCACCTTATGAAGAACGTCTGCGTGGAAGGGTATTAGGTAGCTTTAAGCAACGACGATGGTGACGTCAACGAAAACGGCAATAACGCAATAGGTATAGATTGGCAAACTAACAACTTGGAGTGCAAAGACCACTGAAGGTACTTAAGTCGGTGTTTTAACAAAAGGGACGGCGACGGCAACGAGAATGGCAAAAAACCAATAGGTCTAAATTGGCAAAATAACCACTTTGCACGCCCATCACGCTTTTTTGGAACATTTCTTTGTCGTCGTTGCACGACTACAACGTGAAAGTGCCTAATTTCACGTTTTGTAGAGGACGGGAACACGAGACAACAACTTTCCTTTTCTTTTCCTGAACTTTGATACAGTCCTTTAGAATTCAACTCCAAAACAATTTGCCAACATTTGACGAATTAAACGAGATGGAATAAGCGCGGGAAAGTTTGAAGCAGCGCAAATTCACTTTTTATGTGACGTTTTCGTAGCCGTCGCCGTCGTAGTTGCTTAAGCTCTCTGTTGGAGCTGTTTGTTTACGGCAATGGTTTCTCATAAACGGCCGTGTCATAAATTCATCGAGAGTGGTCGCTTTCGAAAGCTATTTTATACTGGGGCTTTTAGCAAAAAGCTTGGCGTATGTTAGCTCCGCGTTGAGGGAAAAAGAAGATAGCTAGAAGACAAAGAAGAAAAAGATTCCGCGAGCGAAGCAAGCCCAGCGGTAGTCTGGGGAGGGGAGAGAGTGCAGCCGCCTTAAGGCCGCCTTGGCAACGCCTTAGCCGCCTATCTGCCAAAGCGGCCGCCCTTTCCCTCTCCCCAGTCCACCGCTCGTCTCGCTTCGCTCGCCGGTTTTTTTTTCCTTTTGACCCCGTTTTCAGTGACCTTTTCCCCCCCGGAGGAGCCTGGTCCAGGGCTAGGTATATGTTGATGATTTCCTATGCATTGAGCTAAAGTATGAATTGACACATTTCAAGGTTAACAACCATCATACAAGAAAGAAAGAGTCTTCCTGTCTCGTCTACAGGCGTTCTCTGTTCGGATTAATGACGTGCGCGGAGAGCGAGTGGGTGTAGAATGAAAGCACAATCTCTCTCTCATGCAGTTTCCCCCTATCAAGGCGTGGCCACTTGGTCTCTCTCCCGCTCCGGGAGGCGAGTGGAGGAAAACCTATAATTAACCAAATTTTCCCCAAAATAAGCGATCCCGAGAGACCGGCCGGGAACGAGGCAAAAAGACCCTGAGGTTGTTTGCCTAAGGGGCATTTTCGGGACGGTGTGACAACTCATTGGTGCCGTGCATACAGGCGATCTTGACTATGAATACTTTCATAACCACTCAGCACTCTTCAAATATACCCTTATTCAAAAGTTATCTTTAGAATTTTATTGAACCTATCTATTCAAGTTGATATGGCATAAGTACATGCAGATATTTTCCACGGTTCCGGTTACCAAAAAAAAAAAAATCAATATTGCATATTTGATATTATGGCGACGAAGAAGTTATATTGCTACATGGTCGCGACAGGATACTTAGATCGGCTAGAGTGAACAGCTTTTTTTTACTTCATATAAAATTATGGTAGTTATCCACACCTTTGGTTTTACCCAATACGTACTTTGTTGTTAGTTTTGGCTGGCAACTTAAACGTAATTATACGGCAACGATATTGATCATCATTTTAAAACAAGCGTGAACTTCCTCGAACATATGCACAAAAAGTTGACGGGTATAAATAGCTGAATTCCTTCCCTCCCCAATAAACTGAAGTTTCCGCTGGTTTTGTCTGTATAAAGCTAGACGAATTGTATGTCTTCTGAAAGTTTAAGAAGACTTTGAAGTTTCTAAAACTGGAATACATCCAATGTCTATTAAAGTCGAAAGTAAAAACACTGAAAACTTAGTTCGTTCCCATACGATCCTCAGCAGACCATGACAATGAACAACTAAAAACACTTAAGAAATTATCATTTGCGTTCAAGGAAACTTACGTATTTTAGGGAACTGTGCCATATTGACTTTGCTTCTCACAAGTATTAACATATCAGCTAGTATAAGTCATGCATTCTTTGATCATCGCCCATAACGAGCGAGTCAGAGTCGAACGCGAGAGCATCTAAATCGGCATGAAAGCCAAAACCGGGAAAAAAGTTGACGATTTAGTCACCCTTTTTTCTGAACTTCGAGAGAAGTCGATAAAAGCCGGCGAGAAGGTCGAAAACATCCGATGGGAGTTCTTGCGGGAAGTCTACAACGTGCCTGGAGGAAACAAATTAACCAGTTCTAGTTCAATCAGTTTGAACAAGGTTATTTGGTTTATTCTTTTGCCTGCCGTCGTTGTATTCTTGGGTTTGTCTGTCGTCGACTTAGACAGCACTTCACCATGTCTCGTTGATACTGAAATGGTGTTTTGGAATGAGATTACGCGGAAACCCAGTGAATGTTCAAAGATGTGCGTAGACGTGGCAGAGGTACCTCGAGTCTCAAACCTTTCCAAGAAAGAGTTCATTGCCAACTACGCTTACAATGGTCACCCTGTGGTTATCACGGACGCCGCGCAAAATTGGTCTGCTGTGGGGAAATTCAGTTTCAATTTTTTCAAGCGTCTTTACGCCAACAACATGGAAGCCGCTGAAAACTTTGATTATGATCAGGGCTGCATATTTTTCGCTTACAATTCGGGTTTTGAAAATTTGGCTCAAGTACTTAGAATGCCAAAGAAGAGGGCTGAATGGAAGGGAAAGCCATGGTACATTGGCTGGTAAGTTTCTCTGTTTTTATGTTCTACTGAGATAACAGTAAAAACCCGCAAGTAAAGAACTTGTTTAGTTCAAGAACCATTTAGGTTAAAATTTGCCATTGAGGCTCCCGCTCCCTCTATACAAGAACCTGTTTATCCTAAATTCTTATTTTCTAAATTTACAAAAAAATTCTGTAAACTCGCAAGAAGGACTTCAAAATCCATGTGGTCCGTACTTCAGTTCTTCTTGTCAGTAGTCATTTTCACATAGATATGAATTTGGTACGGATTTTATATAAGGAATAAGCTGAATACCACTAAACACTCTTCGCTACGATGTATTGCTTTCTTCAGAAAATAGGAATCTATTAAAAGAACCTAAATAGCCTAAGTTTGTGCTAATTATAATTTACGTAAGAACTTTTTTAGGCTAACTTAGGAAAATGCAGGCTCTTATACTCAAGGGTTTTATCCGGAAGTCATAATCAGGAGCGAGGTAGGCGTGAGGCCTAGGCTGATAACACCATACGAAGACCTCGATTATTCAGGATATCACAAAAAAAGAATCTAATAGTTGTCTTATGTTAGACATTTTGCTCAAGAAGATAATGAACAACACGTTTTTATATGCATGTTGATACTGAGTACAGCTTAAGTTTAGAAAAAAAGAAAGAAAAACAGAAAGAAAGAGAGAAAATGCAGCTTGGATCGAAATAAAGCCGCACTGCACTCCTTTCAACCATTTTAAAATTTTCCTTTATCATGGCCATAAGTTCAACGGAAATTTCGCTCGCGGAGGCGATATCGTAAGACACGTTTAAGAAAGTTCAAGTTTTTGCCTAGTTGTCCTCGGGGGGTGACTAGGGTATACATTTTACTGAATGCCAGATACAACTCAGGAGTTTGAGTGAAATGAAATACATTTCTTCTCTCTAAGAGGCTATTTTGATATTTTACTAATCCGATTCGCATGAACTTGAAAGAGAATTCTTTATCGGTAAGTAAAGTGAAGTGAAGTTATGGTAAGTAAGGTGAAGCTGCATATCGGCGTTTGACAACGAATGGTCTCTCACTCAACTGATCACTCTGTAAGAAACGAGAGTGTCTAATCGATCCGCCACTTGTGTTGTGCAACGGAAATATTTCGTTATTTTAATTTAATTCTTTGTATGCACCTAACGTAAGTAACCATGATGAACGCATCAACCCGCACTACAGAGTCCATCAAAAGTTGTAAAAATAAGTTGTGGACATCAGTGACATCAGTCATATATTGAATTTTCAAGTCAATACAGAAACGTTTTCTGACGTTAAGAAATATTTCATCTACCCACGTCGCAAAACGCAAAGAGTCAGATCATTAGGACTTGATCAATACTACCAGGCTTTCAACTATATAAATAGACTGGAAAAACAATAGACTCAACATTCAACTCGCTCTTAATGCATGCATGGTTTAATTTGACCTGTTACCACCCCCCCGGGCAACCCCCGGGGCAAATCCAGCCCTTTGAGCCCGGAGGTGGGGAATTGCTTGAAGCGGCGCTGTTCCGGGGGAAGGGGGCAGGACACATAAAAATATCTCGTTCTCTTTGATTTTGCGAAGAACGTGTTATTTCTCGTGTGGTTTGCACAATGGCTGCGGACCTCAAGACTACGCATTTTTAAGGATAAACGCAGGAATTTGTCGGAGAGTGGTTGAAGAGAAAAAAAACCTATCAATATTTACGTCTGTATTTTGAGGTATGTTTTAAAATTTCAAACCAATGTGCGTATGATGCGTACTCGAATGGATTTTTTTTGCAAAATATGAAAGAAATGTTTCTTCAGCCTGGCTTTAATAATAGAACATCTTAAATAGACTGTAAATGAAAACGGATACAAGGCTTTTGAGAGAGTGTTCTTATAAAAGTGTTGTATCTGAAGGTGATGCATCAGAGCTTCCTTTCCTTTTTTGGTTTTAAATTTATTGTTCACGTTTTAACTGCATTATGGAATGTATTATCCCTGTCACAATAACCTCTAGAAAACGTTTACAAAAGTTGCGAAAACATCTCGTATGCTATTGTATTGATATTGCTTTAAAAAAGATGTACCTAAACAAACGTATATGAGGTCGATCAGGAGCTCGGGGTGGGGAATTGTCTTCTTCTGCATGCCCGGGGGTGGGAAATAGACCACCAAGAAAGAAAAAATTGCAACTCCCCGGGGGGGCATGGTTACAGGTCAAGACGAACACCCCGCTAAAACGGACAGCTAGAGTTGTTCCTTGCCTTTCTTTACCCTTTTTAGTTGACTCTCTATAAGACGGACATCTCTTTAAGATAGACACATAGTGCGGGTCCCATGAAGAGGTGTCCCTCTTAGAGATAGTTGACTGTATTATCTATATACAAGCAAGCTGTCATGCTTCATTGTTTGACCTGTTGGTGACAACCAATCATCGCCGAGCGTAGGCCAGGAAGAACTTCACCTAGAGAAAATGCTTGCTATAGAGAAGTCTATCCAGGAATGGAAAAGGAAGTTACTAGCTGAAATTATATTTTAGAGAAAGCCAAGACTGTAGAAATGCCACTAATGTTAAAAACAGCAATGCAATAAGGTGACGCTAGGAACCGGATGGCTAATTCTCGAATACGGAAGAATTCGCTTAATCAAAACAAAATATCCCTAATATTCAAAAGAAACATGAAAAATCACTATGAAAATGACTGTGATTGCGATTTAAGTAGTTAAGGGTGTCTTTTTAACCATCCTGGAGAGACGTAACTAAGGGTCATTCATTTGACATTTTGGGTATATGATACTGAGAACGGACTCTTTAATCAAAAGTGGTATTTGGTCTGTATTTGCGTACAGCTCCCACAGATCCCACGGATACGTAAATTATGTTATGTTGCGAAGAGGAACATGTACTTTTTCTTTCGTTATGATAGCATATCAGGCTGATTTAGCAACAGAACGGGAACCTCAGTTGACGACGGTGCGCGCAAATCAAACAGCTGGCTTGACCAATGGCAAAGCGGCAAAGTGGGCACCGGAAGTCGAGTTTAGTACTTCCCGCGCGCTTTCCCGTCGTCAAACGACGTTTCCGTTCTGTTGCTAAATCAGCCTATTAACAATACACTCGGAATTCAGCATACAAGGGTCTCGGTGACTAGGGTTTATTGCTAAACCAACAGAACACATTATGGGTAAAATGTTTGCACCAAAAGAGAATGATGAAGCAGAGAGGAAATCTTAGAGCGTTGGCAGGGATATGTGAATTTCACTCAAGTTATTTTTAGAGGTTGTAGTTGAACGGAAGTCTAATTCCTGGGGCGTCCGCAAATTTCCATAGATTGTTTGAAACATCATCAAGACTGCGTTCCACTGCCACAAAGCAAAAAATGCAGAATATTGTAATGGCGACTGCTGAATTCTCTCTTGACAACACTAACTAAAAGTTTGAGGGCTTCAAGCGTTTAATTGGTCTAAAAATAGCTTTGATGAAATTCGTATATCCCAAGGGCGTTAGGCTAGGGCGTTTCCCTCTCTGTCCAGGCATTATTCTCTTTTACCTGTACTTATTCTCTTTAAAAGTATAAATCCCATTGTCCTTCAGGAGACACGTGATATGGCGTGATTCTGTGGGTGTTGGAGTTCTAGGTCAGGGCTTAGATCAGAGTGTGCGGGTTATTTCTCAGCAGAGCCTCTCTGTTTGTAACGCCATACTGATGAGCCACAATAATAGCGAAACTGACAGCTGTCTATCGCTACAATCCCGCTCTGTTTTAGGTTCTTTCGGTGTCGTGTTGATGTCTGGCAAAGTTAATTTCCACGTAGTACGATCAGCATTGTTATATCCTACTTGCAGAATTTAATACATCTATATCGCGTTTGCTGTTTCTTTTAGGAGCAACTGTGATCCCGTTATCCGTGAAAAGCTGCGTAACTACTACAGCAAACCTGCGTTTATCCCTGATGACGCCGAAACAGGTGATCAGGATTGGATTTTCATGGGAGGTCCTGGACCTGGCGCACCTATACACGTGAGTAACTAAGCTGATCTTGTATTTTTGACAACTCGAGCTGTCTTCTACTGAGCCGAACTGTATAAGGAGAGATGGTTTCAGACTGCCAGCCGTCAAATGACCAAAAACTTCCGCCAGTAGGGGGTAAACAGTTAACCGTTCAAAATTATTATCCGGCACAATTTGTGACCCTGAAAAGTGTCGCGAGAAAGACAGTCCCAGTCCCGCTTTGACAGTTCTAGCTAGAGTTGTTTGTCCAGTTGTCCAAAGTTCAAATCCTTCGGGCCATGCTTGTAAATAGCCAACTGATTACCTTTACAGCCATTTTGGCTTTTTTTTTTATTGAATTTGCACTGACAGCAGCACCTTTGGCTTCATAATTGCAGCTTGACATGGTAAACCGTCCTTCGTGGCAGGCCCAGCTATCAGGTCAAAAGATATGGACTCTTGTCCCACCCCCTGAGTGTGAACATGTTTGTCGAGCAATGAACGTCACCATCAACAAAGGAGACATAAGTAAGTTAGTGTTTTTTCTTGCGAGTATTATGGGATATCTTCAGATATCTTATCAAAGGCAGGCTAAAAAGTATGTGAGGAGGACTAGAATTTGATGGGTAAAAATGTTCGTCTGAACGCAAGGGCGGGTTAAAAAACTGGTATCATCATGTACTTGTGACATTTGTCTTTGTCTTAAAGAGTTTTAAACCTTTCTCATCGTGCATGATGGAAATTAGATACTGGTACCGGTACTGGGCGTACACCAAAAATTGGGTGTCGACTGCCATGCCTTAGCCTGTGCAAGTAAAAAAAATCGAAAACAAAAAGGACAAAAAAAAAAGGCAGGGAAGTACGGCTAATATGAGAAGCTTGGGTTGGCCTTATCTTGGACAAAAATCCCTCCTTTCTTGTAAAAATTGAGGCAAAAAATTCCAGTTAGCGGTTGTGTCAAAACAAGGACAACTTACTTTATCCAACAACTGTAACCTTACCTTGCTTAACCTCGCCTTTCACATTCCGATCGGCCAACTGACTGCGTCCTGCCAACCATGTTTTTAACAATGATAGTTTCATTTAGATTATCTGTTCATATGATTCTTTGAGTGAAGTGCCTGTAGACTAGTTTGAGCCGCTTAGTGCACAGGTGTGTCTGGTTTCAGTGATGATATTTTTTACGGAGATGGGACATTAACCAATCGCCCGACCCCCAAACTGGAGAGCCAGGCGTTGCAATAGGTCATTTGCATAATGGCGTCATTTTACTACTACGACCAGAATCCTTTTCGTTTTTCCTTTCATATTGTAATTTGGTAGTCCCAGTGAGGTTTCGAAAACAAAAGCCCTAATTTGCACGATAGAGCAAAATCCTGAAGGATTCTGGTCGTAGATGTAAAATCACGTCATCGTGGAAATGGCCTATTCCTCTGGCCTTAAACCCAAAATCTGGGCAAGGACGGTTGAACCGTCCTGGGACAAAGGTCCCAAAAGGTATAGTTTCTAGTGTCATCAAGGCATCAAACCTCCCCTGCACCACGTTAAGACGAAACACTCTAAGCGGTCTTTTTAAAAATTTTAGGCGTGTGTGGTACACTTTATGTCCTCTCTCTTTCTTCACATATGCCATTTCCCTTATTTACAAGTCATTTTCTTAGTGAAGCTGTTCTATTTTTCAGTTGTTCTGGACACCAACCAGTGGTACCATTCCACAAAGATTGTTCCTACTGGAGAATTAAGCATCACGATTGGAGCCGAATACGACTGATAAAATTCTAATTCTACCTAATAAACAGATTCATTACTGTCATTAGCCTGCGCCACAGTCGTAATAACATGCGATCAGGCGGTTCGGTTTTTCCCCTTTCCTCAAAAAAAAAAAAAAAACGCCTGATCGCAGGTACCAGACGAAAACTGAACCTCTGCACGCTATCCTATTATCAGCAAAAACATTTAGGTTTCTTTTTCAACGACAACTGAATCAACTCTATCCTTCGCCTGTTCCACGCTCTCAGATAGTGGGGAAGACGCGAAAGTAAAAGGCAAACGAAAAGTCGGCGGAGCGAAAAAGGGGAAAAGGAAGGTAATTTTTAATGATGCACTAGTCAGCAGCACACTTACACTTCCAGTGAACATTTTGACTTGGAAGAAGGAGAAACCATGCTCGCCCGGGGCAACGAAAATTTCGTGCGCTTTCTCAATTTAGCAGGTCCAACTATCTCGGCGCCTGGAACAGGCTACTCTACCTTCTACCGCTCTACTCAGACAAACACCAGAATATTGTTTCTTCTTTTTGAAGATCAGAAATCCAGCAGTTTTTTTAACTCTCCTCACAATAAAGTCATCCACAAAATCTCTATTTCTATTAAAAATTTAAAAAAAAATTATATATGTATAACCTAAAAGTAAATTTATTTACAGCTGTTAGAGGGAGAGTATCTTAAAAATTCTCCCAAGTTTCTTTTAAGCTGTGCTAGAAATAAATTTCAATGTTGGTGACAAAACCTATTAGAAGAATCCCTCACTTTGTGTCCAACAATAATGTTCAGTGTTACTCAACATCAAACACCACTGACAAATTTACGGAGCCCAGTAAGTGCCATTCAAATTTTGCGCTCAATTTTTTCTGTCTCGACTTTTTTCTCGCCTTTAAGTTTTTTTCCCGACTTTTTTCTCGACTTTCTTCTCGACTTTTTTCTCGACTTTTTTCCCGACTTTTTTCTCGACTTTTTTCCCGACTTCCCCCCTGACTTTGGAGTAAATCCGCTGACATTTAAGCGCAAACAAAATGGCCGCAAGAATTTTTCGTTATACGATGTTGCTGTCTATAGTAATTCCCTCTACATGTGTTCTACCAGGCTATTTCTCTCTCCCAGCACATGCAGAACGTGACGACGTAATCGACCACTTCTTTCATCTAGGTCTGGGTTACAGCGAGATCTTGATGTGTTTGTTTCTTTTGCACGGCATTTGCTTAAGTATTCGTCAACTAAAGCGAATACTGAGATGTCGTGGTCTTGGAAGAAGAGCTAATAGGACTGATCCACGGCAGGTTTGCGAAGCTATCGAGGAGGAACTACGAGGCAGTGGTAGCACTATTGGGTATAGGCAAATGACTCAGAGGCTTGTAGTTGATCACGGGCTAGTTGTTGGCAAAGAGACAGTTAGAGAATTGGTGAAGATATTCAAAAAATCAGTACGGCCCACTTGTAATTTTTTCGTACTGTAATCTTAGTAACGGAAGTTACAACCTTAACTGTTCACCCTAAATCCTGCTATTGTGAGAGGGAATTTCTTTCCACAGGCTTTTGCTCCTCATTTTCTGTATTGCGTATCAAAAAGAGCAAACTTAAGTAATATTTACCCGATGTAAATCATTCGCAGTATTTATTTCTAGGCCACTTGTGATCTGCTCTCAGATCGGTAACGGAAGTTTCATAAAAATAGCGGACACCAGTTCACTGTAGTTAAATGCAACAAAACTGACCTGCAGTGAGAAATGATCATGTAGGACTTTAGTTAAGGTCCCTTCCGAGACATTGGATTGATTAGTTTCCATAGTATAAGGCGACAAGCACAAATATACCGTAACCTTCTATACCCACCCTCTCTGTGGACATAGCAAAATTGCATTTTTTGGACACTTTTGGCCTTGATTCCCTCAAAGTTACTGTCTACAGGAGCACAAAGGGGTACTGTCGCTATTTATTTGGGCATATTTTAAGTATTTTTCAGCGAAATGATTATAGGAAAACAATTTGAGTCCCAAAACTTGTCATAGACACCAAAAAATGGTAATTTACCCACTTAACGTGGAATGAGTGGTTGTTCCTATTCCCCACGTGCCGAAATGAACCATTGACGCATGCGTGTGTGATCAGTGGTGGAAAAAAAAGTCGGGAAAAAAGTCGAGAAAAAAGTCGAGAAAAAAGTCGAGAAAAAAGTCGGGAAAAAATCTTAAAAGCGAGAAAAAAGTCGAGACAGAAAAAATTGAGCGCAAAATTTGAATGGCACTTACTGGGCTCCGTACAAATTGGTTCTTTTCATTTTGTGTCTACGCCCTGAAAATACGCCGCGTTCTATTCAGACAGTTATCCATAGTCTTTCCAGGAAACCTATAAATACTATAAAGATCACTGTAACATAATTTGTATCAGTGTAGTTTGTATTTTCATTACGACTGCGACTGAGCGTCGATCTTCCTAGATGAGTTGATTTATTTAGGACTATCGAAGGAGACTTTGCTCGCGGGGGTATACTTTGACTCTACTTCACTATGTCGATCGCACTTTGGGGCCTGGCTCTCGTCATGAACCCCGCGACAAAATTTCAGTTGCCATCTACTTACTTCCGGGATGGGCGCTTGCGCTGCCACGGTCCAAGTTTTATTCCCCTGGGGAACACGTAGGTCGTCCGATTTTGTTACTCGCTCGTATGATTACAGACCAAATTGGATTCCACCAGAAACTCATAATAAGGGGTTGTTCAACCCCTTGTGAGTTTCTGGCTCCACTCAGTCTTGTTACCATTACTAATGTCGTACGAGCGATTAACAAAATTTGTTTAATCACGAGTATGATTACAGACCGAATTGGACGACATGAAGCTCTGATACCAATTAATCATAACTTTGAAAAAATTTGTGATATATAAGACTCTTTTTTAAATCAAGACACAAGAAATTCCAAGATTTTTTTGCTAGCAGTAAAAAAAAAAGCCATTTAAGCGCGGGTGTGATGGCGCGTACTATCCAATTACTTAGGCATGACGCGTACTGTCCTATTAAACTGTCCACTAAGGCTGAAATCAGGGCAGTTGATAGCCAATCAGTTTTGAGAATTTTGTTATAGTTATGATTACAGGTTTAAATAAGGCAAAAAATAATAAATTCTATCCGGAAGTCTGTACGATAAACAAACAGCGCCTTTTAGCACTGTTTACCTCAGATGTGACATATAAAAACAGTTAAAAAGTATATAAGGCTGGTTTACACACCACCAGACTTGTCAACAAGGTTTTATAAAGTAAAGTTGTCGAACACAAAAGGGTGTCTAATAAAGATGCTGTAGGCGGGGGACTGGGTCATTTTGTTTGGGAAGAATTTGTTTTCCAAGCCTAATCTGTTTTGATCAAAGGTGCATGATTGCTATTTTTGGGTGTACATATAAGACCATTAACTTGATGTGGCATTTGTTTCATTCTTGGACTGTTTGCAAATTACTTTTTCTCTAAAATCACTCATTCTTTCCCACAAAAGTCATATGAATCTGCCTCAAAGTTAACTAATTGTGGTTTAAAAGTTTATTGTTTGATTTTAATAACATATTTAAAAACAGGGGCTGGGTAAATCTATATATATTTAAAAATAGACTAACATGTAGGCGTAGAGGCCTTCATAGATGACATAGGGAAACAGGGACACAGGGAAACTAGTAACAAGGAAACTACCATTTCAATACGAGTAAATGACGTCAGTTGTTATGGCGCGCTTAATTGATTCTGCTTTCCTCATGTTTTATAAAGCAGTACTCCAAGCACGAATGTACATGCTGAGTTGCCCTGCTGAACTTTCTCTCTACTAATGGCTTCCTCAAAGTCAAAAGGTGTCGACGAACTAGTAGTTCTGTTTTCTGATTTACGAGAGAAATCGCTGAAGAGCGGAGAAACACTTGAGGCTGTTCGCTTGGAGTTTCTTCGAGAAGTCGAAAAGGGTTCTTCTAGTTATTTTTCCAAGATCAGAGAAAAACGGCTCTGGATTTTCCTCATCTTACCTGTTGTTTTGGCTGCGGCCTGTTACTATTTTGACGTCGTTGAATGGTTAAAATTCAGAGAAGAGCCTTGCCTTTTGAATGTGAACGAGATTTTTATCGAAGTAACGCGAAAGAAAACCGATTGTTCTCTTGTGTGCGAAGGCCTAACAGAGGTGCCTAGGGTTTCAGACTTGTCGAAGGAGGAGTTTGTGACCAAGTATGCGTACACTGGAAGACCAGTTGTTGTTATTGATGCGGCAAAGAACTGGTCGGCTACAGAAGTGTTTAACTTCACGTTTTTTAAGGATCTCTTCGAGAAGAACAAAGACGCTTATCGAGCAAACGAAGAAGAATGCCAGTTCTTTCCATACAGAACTGAGTTCATTTCACTTGAACAGGCATTTAATATGTCCAAAGAGAGATCGGAATGGAAAGGCGAACCGTGGTACTTTGGTTGGTAAGTTGAGTGAAAGCCTTTGCATTGACGTTTAAAGTTAAAATACAAAATACTCTGAAAAGTGATGGGAAAGAAAAAAATTGGTGGAAGTGAGAAAACAAAAGCTGGAAGCAGCTGATCATTTTAATTAAGATTCAAATCAGTTTCTATTCAGTTGTTTAAATGGTTTTCTAGACAAAGCGTAACCTATGTTAATATACATCAAATGAGAATGAAGCCGAAATTTTAAAGTCAAATTTATCTTCGAAGTTGTGTTTGGTTAAATTTTGTGGGCTGTCATGACACAGCGGTTTAATGATACCAATTATTTAATGCAGCTGGAAAACGTGATGAGTCGTTTTAAGTTGCGAAATGAAGTGAAATATACACACACCCTATAGAAATCTACCAAATGAATCAATCAAGAAAAAAAAATCAATCCAGAAAAATTTTCAGTATGTTTTTTTTTAAAAAAGAAAACTTTTTATGATATAATTTTTTCAGGAGTAACTGTGATGCAGCAGTCAGACAAGAATTGCGTACTCATTATCAAACACCATATTTTTTGCCAAACCAATCAGA